ATACTTATCATGTTTGTTTACAAATTTAAAACATTAAAAATTTAAAAAATCTTTGATGTGGTTGATAATTGAGAGAACAAAATACTTACTTATGAAATGTAGTCCCTTCTTTTCTACTTTTAGCTGTGCTGCTGTATCCATAAGAGCAACAACTGACCATATTGTATTGTTTGTCTTTTAACGCGGAAAACTTAAAATGAACACTAATACTGACTAAATACTAAAACACTAAACACTTTTTAAAAAGGTCTACAAAACATACGTTTGATAAAAGTTTAAATTAACACATAAAATATCCAAATTATTGTCAAATTTTAATCACTAAAATTAGGAACCTATTTTAGAAACCATTTGTCATATAATGATGAGTCATCCATAGTACAACATGGCTACCACTTCCGTCAGATTGATAAGATTTTAGGCAGACATGGCATGCTCCTTCCTGACTATATTTATTCAAAGGATAATACAATATATGACAACCGCCTATAATAAAACAGCAGTCTTTTGCGTATCCTGAATTTGTATCCCTGGAGTGGATGTTATTTTGGAACTTTCAACTGGTCCAAGTGAGCTAACTGATTCTTTATCAATAAACTGTGACTTCAAAAATAATATTCACTGACACTGACAGCAGCAAGCAAAATATCAGGTGCGTTTTATTCATCCGCTTCTGCTTCCGGAATTGTCGGTTTAGTCGTTTTAACCTGTCAGATTAAAACAAGAAAACCGACAATTCCGAAGCAGAAGCGGATGATTAAAACGCACCTATTAAAAATATTGCGCCAAGATGTAGGCAACACGTAATAAGGGTTCAAAATGGCGGAGTTTTCTATCTCCTTTTAAAAGGCAGTCAGAAAGCTGCGCAGTGCGGCCATTCTCCGTATAGTAAAAGAAAATCAAAGTATGTGAGGAGAAGCGACAGCTTGGTGTTTTCAGTTTACCGTTTTGTAACGCGCATGTGCGAAAATAAGTTGTGTATCACACAAAATGATGTTATCTGTCAAAGTCAGTTCAAGTTGTGTTTAGTACGTGAGCAATGTTAAGTGATATTTTTTGGTGTTTGTGTAGTAATAAGATTTTTTACACACTTAGGTATTCTAATACAGATATAAAAGGTGCCAAAAAAGTTACTAGAAAACTAAGAATTTTATCACATGCACAAATATTAAGTATAATGATATAATCATTTTTGACATTTTATTTTTCATAATATGTAGGTATTGGATTTTGTGAAATATATGTTTGTCTTCTCTCAAATAAATTTCATAAACAATAAACTGTAGATTTTGTTCATTTTATTTTGAAATTATATTTAAAAAAATATAATAAATCCGCGTGTTTCAATTATTGGTCAATGATTGGTCAAAGTGGGCGAAATCCCTTTATTATGGCTAAATTGTAAGTTTTAATTATGTCAATATAAAGATGTTTTGTCCATTCATATTTACATTTATTGAATGAATCATACTGGAGTTGATTTTGGAAATATTGGCACATACTTAAATAATTACTATTTCTAAAAATTCATCTATGCCCAGACAGCACACATAGTCCAATGGATGTCCACTTTAGATCCATTTGAACGTCAGGACGTCCATATCCAGAGAACGTCCATCTTGGGTCATTATTTATTAAGCCTACCAGATAATACCCATCTATATACACTTATTTTTTTGTTAATATAATTCGTCATTAAAAATTGACAAATTGATTCTATTGCATTTCATTCTATCAGCGAAAGTTTGAAATCTTATTCCATTATAACTATATCTAGTAAAAAGTTTTCAAGTGCTTCCTTGGTCGAGCTCGTCTAACGATTAAAAGAGTAAAACGATAATGCATTTGTTGTGAGTTCGATCCCTGCTCAGAACAAGCGATCTTTAATTAAAAAAAAAAAAAAAAAAAAAAATGGTTTATAGCGGTTTGCGAAAATAATAAACAAATTATTAATAATATAAAATAGTGTGTGGTGAGTTGCGGTTCTGTAAAAAAAGGGGGGATGTGGTCTCAATGGGAATATAATCCTGGACGTTTTTTGAATGTCCAGTATTCGACGTCCTAATATATTCCAGAATTGGACGTCCTCTGAATGGTCAAAAGTGTGCCATTTATTTGTATACTTCACTGGACGTCCATTGGATGTCGGAAGTCCAAAATTGTATATCAAATAGACGTCCAATGGACATATTTGTATTGTCTGGGTGATAGCCAGGCCAGGTATTTAACTCTAAATACATAAACCTTAAATGACATCTGGCTTATCTTTGCGAGAAAACACTTGTTTCTACAGAAATGAGTAATAAACTTGAAAAGTCCTTTTACTATAATATAAATCCATAAATTCTAAAAATATGTAAGTACTTTTTAAACCTAAAAGCTTTGAAAATATATGCACATTGCAAATATTTAGTTAAACTTCTCAAACTTAATGTCTTTTTAATTGTTACCTAAATTTTTTTTGGTACCCTTAATTTTATTTACATTATTTTTTACTTAAGGAAAAGGTAATTGAATTTAAATATGGGGCTTTTATTACATTTTTAACAATAAATAAACCAAATATTGAATAAATTTTATAGATAAATTATAAAATAATAAACGTCTTTTACTTTTATAACAAATAATTAATTATTACATAATGAATTATATTTTGGTGCCGAAATTTCACCATTGCATTAACCTAACTACTTCAATGTAATTAAATCGCATTACAACATTTGCGCATGGACTATAACAATGATTTCAGATAATTTGCCAAACTATTTCGCTCAGTGTAGAAAATAAGCATGTTTTCTCAGCGTATTAAGTTGTGTATTAATCAAAGTCATGCTGTGAAAAAGGTCCATACGATATCAAAGGCACCGACAGCTACTGTCGCTTCTCCTTGATCGGTATTCTCGGCCATGACTTCGCACTGAGCGAATAAGAGTTATCATCCTTTTCAGGGTGGATCTTCCCTTATGTCCGGGCCCCGTCAATTTGTCCCGCCTCCCCGGCCCCCAAGGCGATAATGCAAAGTTGTCGCTAACCAAAAACAAAATGGTGCAGAAAAGATCGCCTTGTCAACTTTTTCTGTGAAAAACTTCTGCGCAACATTTCAAAGCATTTTTAATACTAAATTTAGTAGAACATATAACAAGTTCCAATTAATTGATTAATTTTTTTAGTACTAAATTTAATACTTAATTTGCTGTTTGCACCGTGAATTTTTTTAGTATCTAAAAAATGCATTAATTTAGTTCTAAATTTAGTACTTAATTTAGTATCGTAACGTACAGCGTTAATATATGAATTACTGATATTTCGTTAGGTAGGTACTATGTGCCACAGTTTGACAACGCTGTATGAGGTAAAATTACGTAACTAATACAATTACGCAACTGGCACTGGCTCATATTGTCAATTGTCGCCGTGCACGTATAACAATAAACTCAAGGCATAATATGTTAGGTAGCCTTTAAATTGATTGAACAGTTAAGGAAATAGAAGAAATAGGTAAACATGACAGGTGTAGAAATCTAAATGCCACGAATTACGAACAACAATCTCATAGAAATAATATTCAGGCTAATACAGTTGATGAATATTATGGGTTGAATATATTTATTCCATATCCATATCTTACACGTACCTATACATTTTCCTTTTCTTTTTATAAGTAGGTAAAAACAAAAAGCAATAGCAGATGCTGTGTTGTAAATTGTAAAAATACTAGCAGAAAGAACAGTGTAAATTATATAAATTTTCAGTAGCAAAATGGAAATTAAATCAAAGAAATAAATGGATAGCTGTACAATAAGAAGAAAAAAACCTTTATTTTTGTAATAATAACAGTAATACTGGAAATAGTAGACATCAGAAAATTGAAAGGTTTTAAATTAACAATAAATTATTATTTTACAGTGTTGTTCAACATCCGTTAAATATTCAGCAAGGATTATTGTATGTGGCTGAAATGCAATCTTGTGACTTATTGATAAATATTGTTCTTTGCCTATGTTTTATTGATTATCTACTCTTTTTTTTTAGTTGAAGTAATAAAAATATATAATAATAATAATTTTTTCACTTGTTTTACAAATTTATATACTTTTATAAAATCAAGATATATATTTTTTAATTAGGAATTCCATTAAAAATTGTATTGTCAGTATACGCAAATATCGTCCGTTAGTTCATAAATTAGTTGGCGCTGCTGTCACGCACAGAGCGAATAATGAATGAAAATAGGCTGACTGCGCTTTGCAAGAGCGTACATCGAAAAATAATCGCAAAAAACTAAAAAGAAATCATGTTTTCTTTTATCGATTATTTTAGGTAGAGGAAGAGGAAATTAAAAATTTGGGTTTTCCTAGTGTTTGTCGACGTGTTCGAGTGAGTTTTTTTGTTTTTGTGTTTCTATAAATAATTTATTTTTTTTTATATTATGTATGGCTCTGTCTTCTTGTTCATATTTTTCTTTTATATCACACCTTCTGTTTGTTTTTTAAAAATATGTGTTTTAAGTTTCTTGTTTTGTTTTTTATTTTAGTTTTGTCTTTTTTGTTGGGTTATTTTATTTATTAGAAACTTTTGTTATTTGTATTGCTCTTTTATTTTTCATTTTCTTTGTTTTTCAACAAATATCCATTCGAAATTTTTTTCAAAATTTTGCCCCTTCCTATAGAATTGTGTAACGACGCCCATGGTGATACTATAGGGTGAGGAGTTCGACAAATTTGGTTTGATCTTCATTACTGGTAAGTCAATCAATCTTATAATTATGTGCATTCGTAGGGGTTTGCTTTAGTAAGTTATATTTAATGCCTTTTTGCCATGTATTTATATTTATTAAATTTCTTGTACTTATTCTGGACTATAATTAGTTGAGAAAGAAAGGAGACTTTAAAAGTATATTAATAGCAAACTAATTAAGTACCTACCTAGGTATATTATAAATATACTTTTTATATTTGACCAATTTAGAGTAATTTCTAAAAATATAAACTTTAGCTTACCTTAGTGTATTTAATTTCAACATTTCTCGGATCTGACGCCATTTTTCAGATTATATTCACACAGATTTCTAATTTATCTGGTAGCACGAAAATATAAAAAATCTATTTTTGTAGAAAAAACTTTTTTTTCAACTAAACGCGACAGGCGCACTTATCTAATCTATGTATATAAGTAGGTAGTTAGTAAACTGTTAAATAAAAGAGGATTTAATTTCTCTTATCTATCAGTCGCCTTCGAAATATGTGATCGTTAAAAAAAGTAAGTAATAGACAAAAATATATTAATATTTTGCCTCCTAAAATTGACCTTCATATAAAATAAATTAGATTGATGATAATAAAAAATAATTTCAAATAAGCAGAGGCGGATTTGGTTTATTAAAATTTAGTCGGTTGGGTTCGATTAATTTTATTTAAATGCTCTCAAAAGAAAAAAATGTACTTTAAGGAGGTCCTTTCGCCACCCCTTTCGCCACCAATGTTAAATAAAAAATATTAGATTATGACTAAAATTTATTTTTTTTCTAATAGTTTCTAATAGTTCGAAAATTGTTGTTGAAGTCTTACTTTCTCGTAAAGACACTGTACAAACACACACATTTTAAAAAAAAAATTTCTCAAAAATTTGCACGGTAAGGTATGGTTAAAAGTTCACTATTAGATAAATAAGGACTTCTACTATTAGAAAAAAATTAATTTTAATCTAATATTTTTTATTTAACATTGGTGGCGAAAGGACCTCCTTAAATTAAATTAAACCCATTCATGTTTTACAATTTATATGATATAAAAGCTTCTCGCGAGATTTTCCCTATATCTATGGATTTACCTGTGTAAATTTATTTTATAAAATACATACGACCAGCAATATGCATGGAGTCATATTCAAGATAAATTAAAGGACAGTATTATTGGTGACAGCACGATTAAGGAATTAAAAAAGAAAAGGGACAATTTAATGTCAAACCTATAGAAATTTTATTTAAAATATATTTATAATCTATTTCAGAAATTTTCAAATTTTTTACTTGGTTCTATAACAAAATCAGTCAACATATCCAATCCATTGTATCTGAAATTAAAATAGAATTATAGTGGTACGAAACATACAAATGTTTCATCAACACTTACCTTGACCGGCTCTTATTAAACGATGATATCCACCAGAAACTTTTCTTCTTTCTTTTTTGGTTTCTTCCCAGACAGCACACTAAATCCCAGAGATATCCACAGAATATCTTTTGTGGATATCCAATATATTCACAGGATATCAGAAATATTCCGTGGATCTAATATGGATATCCAAATGTCCGTCTATATCCAGAATATAGAAGATTCCTAATGGATATTCAGCAAAATATCTAATGGGTATCTTCCAGAAAATACAAGAAATCCCAGAGATATCCACATAATATATTTTGTGGATATTCAATATATCCAATATGGATATCCAACCAAATCCCAGACAACACACCAAATCCCAGAGATATCCACAGAATATCTTTTGTGGATATCCAATATATCCACAGGATATCAGAAATATTCCGTGGATCTAATATGGATATCCAAATGTCCGTCTATATCCAGAATATAGAAGATATCCTATGGATATTCAGTAAAATATCTAATGAGTATCTTCCAGACAATACAAGAAATCCCAGAGATATCCACAGAATATATTTTGTGGATATCCAATATGGATATAGAATTCAGATATTCAGCAAAATATTTTATAGGTATCTTTAGTAGAGGTTCATAAGTAACCAATGATTATTGAATAACCTCGAAAGAAAATAGAGATAAAAAATATTTCCAACAATCTGCCTTTGATTTTGCCCACTATAAGGGCACTAAGGAGAAAGTCATCCTTATTAGGACTCTTCAGCAATAAATGGAAATTCTCGACTACAGTCTCTAATAGAGTGTGATTGCCAAAAAAATTCGATCGAACTCATTTACGGCGGGTTGAGCATGAGTAGATACGAAAGTGGTATCGCCATCTATACTTAGGAAGCAAAATCAAAAATTACATCTAGTAGATATCCACGATGGTTTGCGTCCGCGCGTAGACTTTGATATATTTATAGTGGATGTCCATGGGATATAGAATACACCTTAAAAAAATTAATTTTAAATATCTGAACGGTACTATTAGCCACAATGGCGAGCACAATGGCGTAATTTTTTAATAATTTGCTATATAATTACTATTATTTATGGACATTTGCATGTCTATAAATTACATTTCATGGATATAAAATAGATATCCACCATGGACTGGACATTCAGTGGATATTGGGATGTTCATTAGATATCCAAAGGATTTGGTGTGCTGTCTGGGATGTCTGTCTATATCCCAGGATATAGAAGATATTCGGATATTCAGCAAAATATTTTATGGGTATCTTCAGTAGAGGTTCATAAGTAACCAATGATTATTGAATAACGTCGAAAGAAAATAGTAGTGTTGGGATCATCCGAATTAAAAATAATCGATCATCCGATTATTAGAATATTCGGAATATTCCGAATACTAAGAGAGAATTCGGATGATAATCGGTTAAGGTATGGAATAGTTACTATTCGTACTCAGTGTTGTTCCGTACAGGGGCATGTTCAAAAATTTTGAAATTTTTTTTATGAATAATAGAGTTGAAAATAAAACTACATTTTTTTTTATTTTTTTTTTATCTATTCATTTGCCGGAGTTATGAATTTTTTTAAAATTTATGACGTCACCGGGAATAGACCAATAGGAGCTAGCGCACAACGTTGCCGGCTAGAAGGTTTACGAGAAGTGATGTACGTTCGTTTGTGTACTCCTTCTTAATTTTAGACTTCTAAAACATTGTTAAACAAATATCTTTTAAATACATAATATCAAATGTTTTTTGAAAGTATTATTTCTGTTTAAACTTTTACCATATTTAAAGTTTCATTGTTTTAAAAGTCACTTAATAATTAAGAAAATGGCAAAATGGCAGCACTGTATATGGCAGCTGTCATAGTGTCTCGATCAAGAATTTATTTGGAATTTGAGTGTTTAATTTTGTACTTTTTATAAATATTATGACTACGAAAAAGTGTTTTGTTCCAGAATGTGATAATGATTCACATTCATCTTCAAAAATATTTATTAGTGTTCCTAGAAATTTGGAAAGAAGAAAATCAACCTTCTACTGGCGATGTTTCTCGTGAACTTTTTAATAAAAATACACCGGATTATCAAGATGTAGTAGCAATTTCTGCGAATTGTCCCCTTCAGGAAATTGAAAATTCTTAGGTGTATAACCTAAAAACCCTTCTGGAAGAAAATGCAGAATCTCCTGAAAGTTTTGAAGATACCGAATGTATTCATCATTTTGTGGAAGAACTAGTGATAAAGAAATAATAGAAAAATGTGGGTATTTAAACAAACTGGTTCCTGGATCCCATATAATGGCAGATAGGGGTTTCAGAATATTCAGCTACTTGAAAACATGGGATGCACTTTAGTAAAGCCACACCTAGTGTATCACAGAATGAAAAAAGTTCTCCAGATGTACAATTAAGTAAAAGAATAGCATCTCTAAGAATACATACATGTGGAAAGAGTTATAAGAAGGGTTAGTTAATTTAACATGTTAAAACCACATTCGTGTGTGAATTTTAAGCAAGTACATTTACTTAGTAATATCTGCATAATTGCTTGTTTACTTACAAGAACCTATTTTGTAAGAGTAAATATTAATTTAATAAACTTTTTTGTTTGTTTTTTAATTTAATTTACCTAATTATCACATTTCAGGGATTATAATGAGTTTTTAAACAGCCAATGTAATTTTTGATAAAAATTTAACTTTTCGAGCAAATCAAAGAGGAATGAGTACCTGTATATGCATAGATTTTTTTGGGATTAAAACTACCAAAACAAAGGCACCTATTTACAGCAGTTTAAAATGAAACATTTTAACAAAAACGCCTATGTCGCGGTGATAAATATTAAAAACAACCAAGTTCAGTTGAATGTGGTAGCAAAGTCTATATATTCCAATAAATCGGGTAACTACATGTGGTATCACTGGTGATAAATTTAAAAATATCACAATTCTTGCTACCTTTTTCAAAAAACCAGAAAGTGTGCCTTCTTATCAATCCTTTATGAAAATGACAACAGTAATAAATGTGAAAAAAAAAATTTTATGTTGCTATTCGTTATTACGATAGTAAAACATGTTTGCAGTTCCATTTATTTTTTATGAAAATCTAAGTAAAAACCAATGTCAAAAGGTTATAAGTTTTTTTCTGTCAAACCAAATATATCACAAAATTAAAAATTGATCATAGGTCAAGCTAAAGTAATACCTTTATTGATAGTAGCTTTAAAAAAGGAGAAAGAATAATATTGACTTGTTATTATTATTAACATTGGCGATTTTTAATAAAAACTTTTCAATTATTGTTTACAAACAAAAATATAAAAATCTGTGAAAATTTTATTTATCAACCTTTTAATAAAAAATGAGAAAAATGAAGTAAAAAACAATTTATTTACAAATAAAAAATATATATATACGAATCCTAAGAATATAAAAGTACTGATTTATTTTCCTGTAGTGGATGAAGAGGTTTCTTTAACAATCTAGCCAAGTGTACATCAATATTTACGCATTTTGATAAATTAGAGCCTTTCCAATAACACTGAGTAGATGTTACAGATGGTTCCTCACTTCTTCTATGAAGCCACATGTTCATAACCACCTGAAAAAAATAAAAGAGATATGCAGTTACAAAATAACTATATAACCAGCTACAAAATGCTCTGAACGAATCTAGTAAAGAACCTCGGATTTTCAAAAGTAAAAAAAAAAACAATCTCACCACATTTTTGAAATATAGAGCTTTTCGAAAAAAACTGCTATTTTTAAAAGTACAATTTTTTAGGCTATTGAGTATTATAAAATAAAAAATTACGGGATGCTTTGTTAGCTTCAAACGAATCCAGCAGAGCACCCCAGTTTTTTTTTTAAACCACACCACGTTTTTTGGCTCCTACAATATTATAAAATATTCGAAATTTGGCATTTTTAAAAAAATTCGCAATTCCTTGCTGACTTCAAAGTTTTTTTTCTGAAAACAAATATACTTACCACATTTTTAGGATTTTAAAACAGCCTAAACATGTGTCATAAGTAGTTGTTCCAACAAAGCACCCTGTATTATTTAAAAATAGCAATTTTTTTAGTAAAGTTTTACAATATTTCAAGAGTC